TTTTTTTTTTTTTTAAAGATTTTATTTATTTATTTGAGAGAGAGAGAATGAGAAATAGAGAGCACGAGAGGGAAGAGGGTCAGAGAGAGAAGCAGACTCCCTGCTGAGCAGGGAGCCCGATGTGGGACTCGATCCCGGGACTCCAGGATCATGACCTGAGCCGAAGGCAGTCGCTTAACCAACTGAGCCACCCAGGCGCCCCTGTCTTTGTAACTCTTACCACCACCTGAAATTAGGTTATCTACCTATTTGTTTATGTGCTTACTGGGTTTTACCCTGTCTTATTTGTGTGTCTGTTGTAAGCTCTGTGTGGAGACAGGGCCTGCATTTTGTTCATTGCTGCATCCCAAGTCACCAGCACAGGCCCTGGTACATTGTAGTTGCTCGGGAAATCCTTATCGAACAAAAGAATGGGAGAGAGAGAGAGCGAGGAGAACCCGGACCCTGTCAAACAGCAACACATTTGCTATTTTCCACAGGAGAAAGGAAAACAAGGAACTTTACTAAAAGAACCAAGTTTACTTCAGTTTTAAGGCAAATTCCACACAGAGACTGCCTCAGAGACGGGCACAGGACCAGACAGCGTAGAAACACCACCATCATGCATGACAGGAAGGGAAGTGGTGTGGGGCAGCGGACAGAGGGGGCCTGGTGTCCACCCAGGCATGGGATGTGGAGTGGGCTGAGGAGCCCCATGCTGCGGGAGGGGCTGACATGCACGACTTGCTCCCTGTGTGGGTAAAGGCTGGGCAGCTCCGTGGGCCCGGGGGTGAGATCACCCTTCTCACCTTCCCCACAGCAGAGGCAGGGGCTTAGGCTCAGACACCAGAGCCCAAGGCTGAAGGACTAGGGTGGACTTGAGGTGACAGGATGGAACAGGGTGACCTTAAGGGCCAAGACGGCCTGGAGTAAGCAGTCACACTGCTGAGGAGTGGGACGGGGGAAGCTGGGCATGGCATGAATGGACTCTCAGGACACCAGAGCTGAAGGTAAACACCTGGGACCATCTGGTCAACCCTCTTGCCCTACTTCTGAGTCCCAGAAGGCAGAAGGGCCTTCCTTGGGTTCTCACAGGCAGGGGCTGTATGCAGGACTCGAACTCAGAACTCCTATCTCTGTGGGAGAGAGGGGGAGTGTGGGAGTGCTGGGGCTGGACTGTTCCAAGGCCTCCAGGGGGGCAGCAGAGGACCGGGCTCCAAGGGCCCCGGGCCGCCTTGGCAAGAGAAGGGGATGCCTGGAGCCAGGAGTCAACTGTAAGGTGCCTGTGGGCCCACACCACAGAGAGGCCTGTGGATCTGTGTATCTAAAACCAGTGTCATTCTTGGCCTGAGAGGCACCAGAAAGGACTCTGTGCCTGAAAAGCCCCCATTCCTAGCCCATCATGTGGCCTACGGCCTCCCATCACACAGCCTCCCCTTCATGGGTCCGCTGGGCACCCGTGGCATGCAAGTGTCCTGGGAGGGGCCACATGTTCGGGCATCCCTGCAGACCCGTCAGCCTCACAAGGTTCACTAGAAATAGGGATGGGGGAGATACTGGGGGCGGGGAAGGGGCCAGGGGCCAGGTGTAGGAGTAGACTGCACAGGAGGAGGAGAGCGCCTAGGGCCCCGGAGGAGAGAGGCCCAGCTCAGGCTTCAGGGCCACAGAGGAGCACATGGGAATGCCCAGGTGGGCTGAGGGGGACCCCAATCCTCCTGATCATTAACCCTTTCCTGGCTGGGCTAAAACCAGATGTCACAGGGACATGAGAAGAGCAGGGGCCCGGAACCTCATCTCCACCACCCATACCCTCCAATTCCCTAGGTTTGGGCCCTGAGGCCAGGAAATGAGAGAGGAGTCTTCAGAGGCCCCTCCCCCCCGCCGGCCTCCCAGGCACACACAAAAGGCACACACAAAGGCTAGGCATGGCATATTTTAAGGGGGGCTGGGGACCCCAGCTGTGCTTCCACTGCCCCACCCAGGGAGCCGCCTGCCACAGGCCAGGGGCCTTCAGGAAGAGTGCTCAGATGTGTGTGTGCAGGGGGGAGGCAGGAGGGGTGCGGGCTGGGGACCGTGGGGGTGAGGGCTCTGGGGCCGCAGGCGGGGGGCGCGGACGGATGCCCTGTGCCTTCATGTAGGACACCAGCTGGTCAGGGATCTCGGCCAGCACATCGCGGGCCAGGCGTGCCATGCTCAGCACGTGGTTGCCCGTGCGGTCCACGTAGTCCCTGAAGGGCACGAACTGGCCAGAGGAAAGGCACGGTCAGGCCGGGTCTCTGGCTGGACCCCAGCACCCCCCCCCCCCCCAGTCTCCAGCCTCGGGACACTGTCCCACGCCTCCCCAGCCTCTGCCCTCTCCACTCAGCCCCTCCGCCTGCTGGTGAGTACTGAGAGGCTGTTCTCTCATTGACTCAACAGTTACTTATGGATCACCTATCCCATGCCAGGATGCACCCCTGACCAGGAGCCCTTAAGCTCTGAAGTCTTGGCACCAAGCACAGGGACTCAGCCAGCGCTTGGAAAATGCTGGATGAACCCCCTGGCTTCTGGGAAACCGGCCTTCCCATCTCCCCCAACCTCTCTGTCCCCTTTGCTCTGTTTCTCCTCCTCCGTCTCTGGGCCAAAACCTAAAGTCGGGCCCCTCTGGCTTCCTCCCAGGGGCTGACCCCCCCCAACCCCTTGAGTGCCTCAGCTCACTCTTGCCTCCAGGCCTTTCCATACATGGGTCCCCCCTCCCAGACTGCCCCTGCTCTGGGGTCTAGCCTCCTAACTTTGGTCTCCAAACTTGGAACGACCCCTCCCCCACCGCCATTGTTTTAACCCAGGGGGCCTGGGGGATGCCAGTCTTTATTTCCAATCTCCTGAACGCTGCAGGCGGTTCAGAGACAGGAGTGCTTACTAAGGTGCATTCTGAGACTTGATTGGGCAGGGACGCCCTGAGGACCAAGACCTGTCAGCTCACTGCACGTGCTATCCTACACGAGATGTTAAGACACAGATACAATGAACCAGGCAATGCCTGTTCCTGGAGAGGATTACGGCAATAAAGACGCCTCCTCCACCTCCAGGGGGTTTGCCGTCTCACTGGGAAGGCAGCCCCGCAGAAGACACTGGAAAGTGCAAGTATTGGGGCATAAGTGCTCTGCAGGAGACCATGGAGGCGTGGCGGCTCAGGGAGATCTTGGCAGAGCATTCTGGTCAGGGCAACAACGTTGGGGGGAGAGTCTCAGACATGGTAGGGAGGGGTTCACCTGGGGGGGAGAAGTGTTACCCAAGGACTGACTCCTGTTCCCTTCTTTGGTGGCCAGGTCACTCTGGGGCTCCCTCCAAGGCCCCTTTCCAGAGAAGTCTCTAAAAGGGGGTATGAGGGTCAGCCTGGCTAGAGGGGCTCCGGCATTTTCCTTGGGGCAGGCAGGATTTGGGCTTCACCTGGACAATGTCCCGCTCTGCCAGCTTCCCCCGTGAGGAGATCCGCACGTCATCACCATCCAGCTCCACCATGGCTGTGTGAGGAGAGGCATGGGGGTGGGCTGAATTAATGGTGGGCACCTGGGCCTGGCAGGACAGTGGGCTTGTCCTCTAATCCTGGGCCAATCCAGGACAGAGACTGTCAGACCAGACCCCCACGTTAGAGATGAGGAGACTGAGGCCAGGAGACAGGAGGAGCCCAACATGGTGAGTCTCTGACTTCTAGCCCTGTGCTCCAGCTCCCCCACGCTCCACAGGCTCCAAGGGTTGGAGGCGGGAGGAAGGACGGGCCTCCTCTCCACAGCCGTGGGGTACGGGGTATGGGTGCACACCCTGACACACCCTTCCCTGTGCAAACAAACACACCCTTACACCCTGCCCGCTCACCCAGATGGTCACACCCACCCATGAGCTCTCACTCTTTGGGGAAGGGTCATTCCCAAGGGCCTGACGCCTCTGCGGAGACATCTGGGGGATGGGGACTTACCGTCGAACTCTGCCTGGCCCACGCCGATGATGATGATGGACATGGGGAGTTTGGCAGCCTGGGAGATCAGGGGTAGGGACAGAAAGGGGTGGGTCAATGGAAGAAAGAGAAGAAATGGAAGACAGAAGGATGGAGACACACAGAGAAACACAGGAAAGGGGAGAGGGGGAGGGGCACGGACCAAGGGAAAGAGCCGTGGGGCCCCAGAGAGGAAGAGAGGGTCAGCAGGGGGAAATGGGTCACAGGTCTGCTTCTCTGAGACACCCCCATCCCCTCTCTGTCCCTGGGCCTCCATCAAGTGGGACACATTTTATGTGGGCATCCAGAAGTGCGAGCTGGGGCTGGAGCCCGTTATACAGGGAGACCATCCAGTAGGGGGAGCCAAGTTCCTGGGCCTCCCCAACACTGGGCTCCTACTTCGCCCTGGCCAGGCTGGGCTTGGGTCTGGGGCAGTGGTCCTAGAGATGGGTTAATGAGGGGGCCATAGGCGTCAGGAGGGAGTAGACCACCCAGGGTGGGTACAGAGCTCATCAGTGGGACCCCTACACCTCCCAAACCCCACTGTCCAGGAAGCCTCGTCCCAAGGGCTTCTCTAAAGAAGTGGGAAGGCATGCCCCCCACCCCCAGCTCACATTGACAATAGCCTCCTTGGTCTGTGCCATGTCCGAGATGACCCCATCTGTGATGATGAGCAGCACCGAGTACTGGGAGCCGTCCTGCACTGCGGCCGCGGTCCTGGGGGAGGAGGCGGGGGCTGTAGTCTGTCTGGCCTGCTCTGCACCCCTCCCCGCCCCCACAACACTTTGGGGAGGGGGACAACTCTTTGGCTGGAGGGGTATCTCTTTAGGGTCAGGGCTCCCTGAAAGGCGAGTCAGTGGAAGAGACGCACCCCAACCCCACCTTCCCGAGAGGACAGGCGTGGACGGGAACGCTGTGTGAGCCACTGGGATGGGCGTGTAGTGGCCCCGGCACTCACCTGGCCACATGGGTGACCACAGGGGCGAAGTTGGTGGGGCCATAGAGCTGCACGGTGCGCAGGCTGTGGTGGTAGGCCTCCAGGATGCCATCGATGCCACAGCAGGAGGGGTTCTCCTGGTTGCCATTCTAGGGGCACCGAGGATAGGGAGGCAGAGCCCAGTAAGGAGGGAGGAGGCGGAGGGAGGGCAGCTGGGGGCTCTGCGGGGGGGCAGGGGGGCAGCCAGTGTGGGGAAGGCCAGCAGGCCTGGGATCTCCTCGACTCTTCTCTGGTGGGGGGTAGGGGCAGGGGAGGGAGTCCCCCGGGCAGCTCATGCTCTGGGTGAGCAGGGCCAAAACCTGCTCCTTGCCCCGCTCTCTGGACCTGCTCGGACAGGCCCCCTGAAAGGCCTGGCTGCTTCCCTCAGGGAACCTTGAGCAAACCACCACAGCCTCAAATGACTGCCGGCTCGGAGCAGCTCTGGAACGACTAAGCGGTTGATCTGTCCTCCTGTGTCTGGTGCCCAGCATCATGCCTGGCACAACGGAGTGCCACCAGCTTGTGGGAGGGAGGAAGAGGAGGTGGCACCTCCGCAGGGCCCCCGTCTCAGCACCAACTCAGGGAGCTCCTGGGATTACCTGCAGTTGCCTAGTCCCAGCGCACACCCCTTTACCCTTATTTCTGGGGCCTTGGGGTGGAGGGGTAGTTCAACCATGTCTCCACTCCACCTCTCCTGGGTCTTGTCAGGAAAAGGACGCCAGAGCCCACTGTGGGTGGCATCAGACATGGAGCGGAGGTGCTGGTGAGCAAGGTGGGGAGTGGGCTTCTGGAAGCCCTGATATAAGCCCCCCACCCCCACCCCCGGCCCAAAACACAGCAGGCAGCCTATCCACCCTGCCCTCAAAGGCTGCACCATCTGTCCCTGGGCAGGGAGGATGGGAAATGCCCTGGACCCTGGGCTTGTCACCACGCCCCGAGCCTGGTCAGCCCTCAGCCCGCGCTCCCAGGACCTCCTACCAGCGGGAACTCATGGGACACCCTTCCGTCAGGGGGCAGCTTGGCCCCGAAGCCAAGGGCGGGAAACATCTTGTCACTGTCGTAGTGCTGGATGATCTCCCCGACGGCAGTCAGCGCCAGCGCATAGGCGTTCAGCTGGTAGGGGCTCATGTAGTGCAGGGACGTGGACTGCGACGGGTTCCCTGTGACACGGGACATGAGAACATTTGCTGGTCTCCACACTCCAAGCACCGCAGGCTCAGAATGCAGAAGGGGGTACTGGAGGGCACCCCTAATTTTCTTTATCCTTGATTCCTTTCTTTCTCTCTTGCCACGCCTTCAATCCTTCAGTAAATCCCGGTTGCTAAACCTTCAAAATATATGCAGCAGCTCACCTCCTTCTCCCCTCCTCTGTGACAGCCCCCTCCCCTTGTCTGCAGGAAAGCAGCAACCCAGACCATCACTCGGCTTCCGCCCTTGTGCCTAGAGTCTGGCCAGAGGAGCCTGTCAAACCTCAGGCAGCTAGGCCATGCCTCTTTGCTCCAAAGGCTCCCATTTCGCCCAGAACCAAACCCACAGTCCTTATGCGGGGAGTGGGGGAGGTGCAGGCCCCACGGGGTCTGGCCTCCAGTGACCTCCCTCCTTGCCGCTTGCCATCCCCTCCCCTCACTCACTCAGGTCTGGCCCCCTTGCCATCCCCACCTCAGGGCCTCCGCAGTGGCATATCCCTCTGCTCTGGGACACTTTACCGCAGAGGTACACGTGGCTTGCTCCCTCTACTCAAGTGTCCCCTTCCCGGTGTGGTCTTCCCTGAGCGGCCTCCTGAAAATCACAGCCTCCCCCAAAACTCCCTATCCCTCTTGCTGGCTTAGGGTCCCCCCCACCTCCGTAGCCCTCGTCACGACTGGCAATTGCCCACATTTTACTTACTGAATCATCAAGGGCATTACGTCACAGACTGCCAACGATAAGATCCTGTCTCTACCTGCTACCAGCTGTATGCTCTTCCATAGCTCCTTACCTCTCAGCCTCAGTTTCTCGTGTGTGGAGTGGGGGTAACAGTCCCACCTCACGGGATTGTTGTGAGGATGGAGCAGGTGGGATTCTTACAACTCCCCTCCCAGCTCTGAATCCTACCACTCTAGGACTCTGGGGCCCAAACCGGGGAGGAGTCCCAAACTGGGGAGGAGTCCCAAACCGGGGCTGCTCTGACAGGCATGGGAGTGAGCACGGAGCACTGCTAAGGGGGGTCTAGACTCCAAGGGAGGTGGTGACTTTTCTAACAGTGTAAAATTGGGCACTGGTCGCTCGTGGTGACTCAGGCAGCCCACCCTGGAGAAGGCCAGCGATGGGAAGGGAGCTGGGGTAGCCCCAGCAAGGCTGGGAACTGGGGTTCCTGCCTTCACTGAGGACCAAAGAGCTCCCCTCCAGCCTGGGGGTTGCGCTGCACAGAGGATGGGAGATTTGATCCCGTGAGGAAACATCTTTTCTCCAGTGCTCTCCGTGGGCCCAGAGCCCAGATTTGTTAGTGGCCACGGTCCAGTGTGGGGATACCTTCACCATCTTGGTTATCCCTTTGGGTCTCCAAGCCTAAGTACCTCCTTTTCAGTGAAGATGAGGCCGAAGAATATAGGAGAGCTGGTTCCCAGCTAGGGCCAACTATCACAGTTTTGAAAAGCCCTCCCCTTTCCAGTCCCCAGCCCCACTCCAGCTCCTCTGCCCACCCCCCACTCACCATTGGAGGCCGTGAAATCGATGGCCACTGTGAAGTTGATCTGGGTCCTGGAAGAGGAAGAGCACCAGGGGAGTTACCTGGACAAGGAAAAATCTGGCCCCCACCCCAGCCCCACAGCTTGCCAGACACGTGGCCTTGGTAAAGTCACTCATCTTCTTCCAGTTCTGGAAAACGGGGATAGTCATGCCAGCCACGGCCTCCCCACAAAGGACTGTTGTGAGCATAAGAGGTAGGCAGGGTGAAAGCTCTCTGAAGGGACTGTGTTCTGTGCGGACACATGGTGACAATTACTTCTTTCCTCCCCAAACCCTGCCCCTGGGCCCACCTGAGTCCAGTGGAGCAGGGTCTCACTCTGTTTCTTGCTCAAATTCAGTGTCAGAGGCAGGGTTAATGCTGCCTCTGGGTTTATTTGACAAAAAAGAGAGCCAAAGAGATATTGTGCATCTCTGAGGAAGAACAAAACATCACCCATGATACTGCCTTGCCAAAAACTTGAACCTGAATCCAAATGAGCTTTCTGAGCTATCTCCCAGTTGTTTACAGGATACACAGGGGACAGAGGAACATGTTCAATGACAGCTGGGGAATGCAGCCAGTAAAAGCCAGTCTGGGGGAACCTGTGAGAAGTCCAGGCCCCCCGCAGATCTCGTGCATCCGAATCTCTTGGTGGGGAGCAGGACTCTGTTTTAGCAAGCCCTCATGAGCTCCGGAGGAATCAACAGATGAAAAGAGAATTAAGGGGCAAATCGATCAGTCGCAATATATGGATCTTGCCCGATTCCTGATTCAAATAAGCCAATTAAACAACTTTACAAGACAACTGGGGGAATTGGAACACTGACTAGATATTTGGTATCAAAGAACTATTCAATGTTTAGGTGTAATTACAGTATTGTGGTTATATTTTACAAAGAGAAAGTCCTTCTATTTTAGAGCTATATCCTGAAGTATTGGGGGGATAAAATATGATGTCTGTGATTTGCTTCAAAACAATTGGATGAAAGAGAGCATGCATGGAACAAGACTGGCCAGGAGTTGGTTAACTGTTAATTCTGGGTGAAGGGTGCCTGGGGGTTCATTATACCTTCTACTTCTGCATGTATTTAGAATTTTTCCATAATGAAAAGTTTGGTTTTGAGGATTCAGATTCAGGGTTGAAGCTTTCTGAGGGTTTGCTGCTCTAGTAGACACTGACAGAACAAAGCTGACAAGACAGGAGCCTCCGATAAAGTCTAGTCTTGTGGTCCCCATTCTGCAGTGACCAGAGAGTCACTAGGGGAGCTTGTTTAAAAAGAAGATCCCAGGGCCCCACTCCCAAGGATGCCCGTTCGGTCGGTCTGAGATGGGGCCCCAGAATCTGCTTCTTCAACAGACATTCCCTGGCCTCATCCAGAGATGGATTCTGAGGAGGGGGTTCTGGGATCACACTGTGGGGACACTCTGTTCTGGTGGTTCTTAGGTGGCATGATGTAAGATCAGCCACAGCCCTCTCTCCACCTGACCACAGATGAGCTGCTACTCATGGAACCATTGCCCCTAGGAAGGGTGAAGGACCTGGTGAGCAGGAGACCCAAGGCAGGGTCTGCTGGCCAGAGACGGTCTGGCCCACGCTCTTTCCCTTTGTCTGCTGCCTGGGGGCAGAGCATCCAGCAGACTCCAACCTCTGAGGGAGACGGAGAAACAAGATGGCAAGAGCCTGGGTCCCTAACTGACTGTGTGGAGCATCTCCCCACCCATCCCTGCCACCCCATGGATGAAAAATAAACCTTTGTTCGTATTAAGCCTTGAGGTCACAGGATTATTTGTTACAGCGGTTGACCTACCCTATTCAACTGCTGTTTGTTGTCATCTCTCACTGGGGAATAGAGAGATCATGTCTTCTCCATAGGGAAAGAGCTCTGCTCCCAGGGCCACCATCGGGAGGGTGGTTCTGGCCTATGGGACCACAGCTGAGGGACACCACTGGCCGGGCTCTTCCGAATCAGGGTGAAGGAAGAGGCAAGCCTTACTCCGTAACTGGTCTCCCCCTGCTCTGGATTCTGAAATGACTTGGGGTAGGAAGGGGCTGAAAAGAAGGTTCTTTTGTGGGACAGCTACTCCCTGCAGGCTCGCCCCTCCTGCCTCAGGGCAGAGCAGGGCAGAACGCAGGCTGCTGAGCACCAAGCTCCATCTCTGACCTGGGGCCAGAGCTGAGGTGGCCGTTTGCACTCTCCGGGGCCAGGTGGGCAGGGGAGGGAAGCCAAGGAGGAGAGGATCCCGAGACAAATGCCTCCATCAGCTGCCTGTCTGGACACGCAGGCCTGAGCGAGCTCTCACTCCCTGGAGCCGGCTCCCTCACTCAGGTCTCTGGTGAGGACAAGGAGGTGGGGGGGCGGGCCACGGCTGGCGCCAGCGTTTTACCTTACCCGGTACTCGCGGCGCCAGCTTTGCGCAGAAGGCCGGCCTCTGAGGGCTCCTTCTCTATGAGACATCACAGCACCCAGCCCTTCCACCCAGCTCTGCCTGCCTGCCTCACACCCCACCTGGAAGCTGTGAGGCAGGCAGGGCCCGGATTACTCAGTACTACAGAAGAAATGCCGCACGTGGGGCCCGGAGGAGGCCAGCCATGGGCTGGGCGTGTGGCCACCAGCAAGTTCTGTAAAATGGAGATCATCATCCTCGCCCTGCCCACTATGTTCTGTAAATGAGGGGCGCTGTGCCAAGAAGAAGGATAAATACAATGTGGATTGTTTGAAAATTAGCAGGTGCTCTAGAATGTAAGCGCGGGGTGCTTCATGAGCTAGGGAACAGGGCAGTTTTGATGGGGGGAAGGGAGCAGGGGCAGGGCCTAGAGTGGGCTCAGAGGAGGGGCAGGTAGAGGCAGCAGGGGGCCTCCAGGCAACTGCAGGGAGGTGTGTGCTCAGCGGGTAGAAGGAGAGCTTGCAACCTTGAAACCAGTTTCCAGGCAGTAGGGCGTGGTGTCATGGGAGAGTACGTGTGGCTTCCCAGGGCCTGACTTTTCCCTCTGCCCTGGAGAAGCCGTCAGCCAAATGCCCACTTGGCTGGGATGAGCCTTTGGCACCTGCCCTGCCCGTCTTCTTTCCAGACAGGTGTAGTCACTCACCTGCCTGCACCTGTGGGCTCTCGGCTCCCCACACCCTGACCTGGCCCCTGTTCTGGCAGGGAGCATACTAACCTCACCTTGGAGTCAGGTTCTCTTTCCATGAGCTGTTGGCTGGAGCCCGCAGGTTCTCCTGCCTGCCTTGCCTGGATGCCAACCCCTCCGGTTCTTTCTGTTTCTTAAGCTCATGTTTGACCACCTGTTGGCTGTGGGACCATCTGATGGCTTATCCCCCAGTGCCTCCTGCCCCTTAGAGGTCCCTGATACCACTGGGAAGGTTAATCATTGTCCCCACCCCCGAAAGACCAGGCATCAGAAGCTCAGAGAAGGAAGGGCCATTAGAATTCACTCCAACCTCTGTGTGTATAGAGAAGGAAACTGATGTTCAGGGAGGGAAAGTGACCTGCCCAAAGTAATCCAGCAAAGTCATGGCTAAGAAGCGCCAAGAGTTGGGGTGCCTGGATGGCTCAGTCGTTAAGCATCTGCCTTTGGCTCAGGTCATGATCCCAGGGTCCTGGGATCGAACCCCACATCAGGCTCCCTGCTCCGTGGGAAGCCTGCTTCTCCCTCTCCCACTCCCCCTGCTTGTGTTCCCTTTCTCTATCTCTCTGTCAAATAAATAAAATCTTAAAAAAAAAAAAAGTGCCTAGAGTCTGGGCCTCTCATTCCTAGTCCAGAGCTCTTTCCACCTCCCTAGGCCCTTGGTTCTCTTTGTCACAGAGTCCGTGCCACCTCAGGGTCCCATCCCTGCAAGGGGACCTGACAGGACCCAGGCTGGCCTCCGTGGCTCAGGAGCACCCTCTGCAGCCACTCAGGATCCAGGGGCATGCAGGGCTCTGGGTGAGTTGTCCGAGGCCAGAAACAAGAGCTTGCTCAGGGCTCACAGGCTATGTCCAGGGCCTCAAAGAGGCCAGAGCTGCTCATGCCCATATGTGGGGCCCCTTCCCTCTCCCTGAAGCCAAAGAAACCGGGCTGGATATCTTCTCACCCTCCTTTGATGTAGTCAAGAAATGTGCACTCGGACTCCACAGCAAAGGAAAGCAGCGTGACCTTGAAAACAAGAGGGAGCTTGGTCAGTACGGAGCTCAGGGCTGCAGGGAGACGGTTTGCTGAAAGTGAGGGAGCACGCAGCACCCGCCAGGTTTGCCTACTCCACTGCATACGGTACCCACAACAACCCTATGAAGCACAGCTATTATCCCATTTTCTAGCCAAGGAAACTGAGGTTCAAAGAGGGGATGCAATGTGCCCAAGGATACTGCCGGGACCTGGCCGAGTGAGAAGCGAACTCGGGTCTGACTTCAGAGCCTGCCTTTTTGACCTTGATCCCCACCTGCATCCTAGCAGGGCCCGGTCGCTGTTCCTGGAGGCACCAGGACTCAAACCAAGAGCACAAGTTTCCCCTAAGTGGCTACCAGCATGGAGTGTGGAAGGCGAGGGGGTCTTCCTGACACAGGCCTACCAACCTGCCAGTGCTGACAAGCTCCCTGTCCTGCTAACGATCCATCCTAAAACATGCCCCTTTGACCTAAAACATGCGCTTAGATCTTCAATCTCACTGTCCCAACTCACCGCTCCGATGTCTCTTGATCTCTACCTTCTCAGACCCAAGACCCCCATAAGCAGCGTATTCTTGCCCGGGAGGTAACTGACCTGGGGCCCCCTCTCCAGAGCAGATGCCTTTTGACCTCTGCCCTGTGACGGCTTTGGCATTGACTGTGCCTAGACAGGCAGCTACCTGGCAGCTCATTACAATAATGATTTAGGATCGCGGAGACAAGTAAGTGAAAGCCTGGCTGCCAAAATCAATTAAATGAGGCAAGATTGGGGCAGAGGATCTTCTACCTGTGTCAGAGAACTCTACCCTAGAATTTGGGGAACCCCCTACTGGTGCAGGCTCTGCTATGTTTACCAACTCTCTGGGTAGGCAAGGGAGGGCCTCTGCTTGACATCAGCCCAAATAACGGGAGGGTCTGTGGGTGCTGTGCTGGGCCCTGGAGACCCTACCTGCTGTGGTTCGGGTGTTAGGCGCCTGGATGGACAAAGCTTCCTTTCAGTAGGCGTGGACTATGGCAGTGGCCTCTACCCTGACCAATGATCGCCAGACTCCCTGGGGAGCTCTGAAAACCTCTTGCAGCCTGGGTGAGGACCCCAAACCAATTACATCAGTTTTGGGGGTAGGCCTCTGGCCTTGGATCATTTTTTAGCTCCTCACATGAGTCTAACCTGCAGTTGGGGTTTGAACCCCACTCCCCACCCCCCACCACCCCCTAAGGCCTTGGGATGAAGTAATTCCCTAACTTGCCTGACCATATGGATTCAGTCAGGGCCTTGCTGCTCAAAGTGTGGCCCCTGGACCAGCAGCAGCGGCATCACCCTTATGCTGGTTAGAAATGCGGACACGCAGATTCTTGGCATTTTAACAAGATCCCCCAGAAGATTCCGCACATAGTAAGTAGGTATGAGAAGCACTAAACACAGCTTCCTGGGCCCCAGCCTCGGCCTCCTAAAATGGAACCCCAGGACACTGGACTGGGCATGTGCATTTTAATAAACATCCTGGGTGGCGTAGTCGGTTAAGTGTCTGACTCTTGCTTTCAGCTCAGGTCACGATCTCTGGGTCATGAGATCGAGTCCCACATCAGGCTCCACGCTCCGCGGGGAGTCTGCTTGAGATTCTCTCTCTCCCTCTCCCTCTGCCCCTCCCGCTCATGTGAGAGAGCGCTCTCTCTCTCTCTCTCAAATAAATAAATCTTAAAAAAAAAAAAAAAAAAGCATCCTGGGCCCTGACTGATTTTTTATGGTGAAGATTGACCTGAGACAAATCATCAAATCATGTCCCCTCTCTGGGCCTGTTTCCTTATCTCCAAGAATACTGAAGGAAATCAGTGGTTTTCAAACTTTTTTTTTTAGCTTTACATCTGAGATTTCTCAGCTGGGGAAGGTGTTGCCTCCCCTAGGGGCATGGGAATGTGTGGGAAGGTTTCGGGGGTCTGCCAGTGACTGCAAACTACGGGTAGCCACGGGCTGAGGCCAGGGGTGCTAAGCACCCCACAATGCACAGGAAAGTCCCGGGAGATGAAGAATGATCCTGTCCAAAATGCTGACAACATTCCCACTGAGAGACACTGCGGCTTTGGAGGAAGCAAATATTATTCCAAGCCTGACTGGGAAGCTGTTACAATTCGTCTCCTTTGAATGACCAGAGAGTACTTTGCAGTTTACCGGAATGTCTCTCGAGCTCTGTGTCACAGTCAGCCAGTGTAGTACGCAGGGTAGGGATGATTTATTAGCCCCATTTTACAGATGGAGAAAATAGGGTTCCTCAGAGGAATCCCAGAGCTCCCTGACTAGGACCTCTTCTAGGTCTGGAGTTGCAATTTGCTTAAATCTAATGACTAAGTGTGGCTGCATTAGCTGACGGGGCCATGGACCTCTACAGTAGGGAGGGACAGGAAGGGTACAACGCTGAATGTATTTGCAGGGCAAAGATGCTGGCTTGTTCGAGAAATGCACTGTGGGCTCCACCTCAGGGCCCTTGCACATGTTGATCCCTACAGCTAGAATTCTCTTTCCCCAATATCCTCAATACTTGCTCCCTTACCTTCTTCGAATCTCTGCCCAAACATCACCTTCTCAGAGAAGAGCTTTTCCTTCCCTACTTAATATAAAATAGTAGTTTTGTCTCTGGCATTCCCTAACCCTTTACCTTCTTATACTTTTTTTCCCACAGCAAACATAACCACCTGACAAATATAGGTACATGTATGCATATATTTTTGTTTTCTGTATCCCCCACTAATATATAAGTACCAGGAAGGCAGAGATTTGGGTCTGTCTTGTTCCCAGCTGTATCCCTCATGCCTAGAACACGGTAGCACTCAGGAAAGGTTTGTTGGATAAATGCACGAATGTCCTGAAGATCAGCCCCCCAGAAGCCATGGGGCTCATGTAATCCCGGGATCGTCGTGGCAAACAGGGGCATCGCCGGCTGCCAGCTCTCAGTTTAACTGTAGTGCTGAGTGCCATCTCTAGCTCTGTGACCTTGGTTGTGCCTCTCTGGCTCTGTGACCTTGGGCGAGTCACTTCCCTGCTGGCAGCCTTGGTTTTCCTCTTTTATGACGAGGGGATGATAATGTCTGCCTCTCAAGGAAACAACCTGTGAAAAGCACCTCTGTGGGGAGTTCCCCAGAGTTAAGGGCCCAATGCACACTATTCCTTTTCCTCTCCCTTTCTGCAGGAAGTCCCCACGGGAGTTTCTCTCTGGGATTTCTCATTCTGTATCAGCGCCTGTGGTGTGGCCCGTCTCCCGTCTACTGTCTACCCTGGCCACCCCCCAACCCCCCGGGGCTGTTGCTCGATCCGCCCCACCCGTCTCCACCCCCAACTCTCCAGGTCTGGTTCCCACACCCTGCACGAGCCCACACAGACACACACGACTCCTGATGCGGACCTAGCTCAGGCCTCAGGATGTTTACACCTGGCTGCAGAGAGGGGTGTGGCTACTCACGGTGCCAGAATTCACGTATTTCTTTTTCTTCATTTTCTTTTTCGGGTTTACCACCTGCAGGAAAAAACAGGTGCCAGGTGAGGAGCATTTCTAAGCAGTCAGGGGTGGGCTCCCAGAGCTTCTAACGACCCCTGGGTATGGCTCCGGCCCCAGCAAGCAGAATGTGAGGTGTGAAGAGACTGGGGGTCCAGGGGAGGAGGGTCCGGGAGGTTTTGTGAGGGACTGGCATTTAGATTTAGACCCAGTTCCACGACCAAACACACCAGGAATAATATTTATTTAACCTTCTTCCCCACTGCTCCCCCAAACACGCCCTCCACCCAATGCAGCCAAAGGAGGCTCCATGTCGCAAAGGGGCCCTGTCTGTGCCTGCCCTTGTATGTTGGCGCAGGCTGCTTCCCGCACCCTGAATGCCTTCTCCTCCACCTTCCACCAATTCCCATCCTCCCTGCTCCTCCTTGGAGATCCAGCCCTAGGGCTGCCCTGGGGCCTTTGGGGCTCCCCTTTCCACCCACCCCCAACTACAGTCTAGTTAGAACTTCCTTAACTGTTCCTCATGTGAAAGCTTTCGTTCCAAACCAGACCGGTCATTGGAGAATATATCACAGGCCTAGGTGCATATTTAGCAGATGCTAAAAAACCACTTGTGGGGGGGCTTAACTCAGTGGTCTCAACTGCCCGCCCCCCACCTCCGATATTCGGCCATGTTTGGAGACACTTTGGTTGTCATGACTGGGGTAGAAGACAGAGGCCAGGGACGCTGCTGAACATCAGGCCATGCACTGGGCAGCACCCCCCAACCGCACAAAGAATCTTCGAGTCCAAGGTGTGAGTTGCGTGGAGGCTGAGGAGCCAGGGGGCTCGTGAGCCCTCCAGGGGGCTTTCACATAGGCTGCGTCTGCACTAGCCGGAAGCCTCACGGCTCTTCTGTTTCCATGGAGGAAGGTCAGGGCCTACCTTGCCCTCATCCCCCGTCAAAGGAAGCAAGCGGGTTGAGTTCCACACCTGCTCCGTCCTCTCCACATGGCTGGTGAGCTCATGGCCCTGCCTCCTCCCCCCCCACCCCGTTCTTTTGCTCGCAGGGGTGGCCAGGCGTCAGCAGAGGCCTCTTCTGTCTGAACGAGTGTTGATGCCCAATTCCTGGAGATCAGGAAACTCAGGCCCAGGGACAGAAGTGATTTGCCCAAGGTCACGAGGTGCTCTGCGTGGTGACAAAATTAGAAACCAGGTTCCTGCCCCGAGGTCAGTGCCGCCTACCTGGGTGTCACCTTGATAACAAATACAGACACATTCCTTCACAAATATTTATGGGGTGGGAGTGGGAGACACCAGTTCCTCTCTTCTAGAATCTTCACTCCAGTTGGAGAAAGATTTGTCCTCAGGAGACAGAGGACAAGAAGCACCAAAAAAGGGGAGCCAGAAACGTGAAAGGAGTTGGTGGAAGGAAGGACCGTTCCTGGCCGAGCATCAGTGAAGGCCCCACCCCCCCCCCCCCCGGTGGGGCCGAAGGCAGGTGCTGAGGGCAGGAAGGGTCTGGGCATGGGGAGCTGGAGGGAGGGGCATTCCAGTCGGAGGAGATAGTTTGGGGGAGGGGAGATGGCTACAGAACTGGATGGCAGAACCACAGGGTGAAAGAGCAAACTGGGCTGGCTGGAAGAGAGCCTAGAGTGCCAAGTTAAATGGCTGAACATCACCCAGCAGCCAGCAGGGAACTCTGATGACCTCTAAGCTGGGAGGGGGCCATGATCACAGCAGGCTCTAGGATGCTGGGACCCGGTAGAAATGAGCATGAGGGGAGAAGGAGAGACATCAGGGGCATGTCTACCTGCCTGGTTCTGCCACCTAATGGCTGTGTGACCCTAGGCAAGTTACTTGACCTCCCTGTGCCTCAGTTTCATCTATAAAATTGGAACAAAAAGTACCTACCTTATAGAAAGGTATGGGGATTCAATAGGTCAATATAAGTAAAGCGTTTAGGACATGGTCTGGAACGTAGTGAATACTATGTTAAGTGTCAGCCGCTATTAATTTTTATTACTACCACTACTACCACCCCCACGAGTCCAGCCAGGTGAGAGGTAATGAGGGCCTGGGGGTTGTTGGAACAGGTACTGAGCTATAGCAAAACAGCACTGTCAAGAAGTGACCACAGATCTCGGGCCCAGGGCGGGGCTGCGGGGGCAGGAGGGAAAGGGGTCAGGGGTAACCAGGTAGACACAGAAGGAAGAGCTGGATTTGGGGTCCCAGGTGGGAAGTTCACGTGCGGAGGGCTGGCGAGCTCTGCAGGTGGAAATTGTGAACCTGGGGAGAGAAGCCCAGAACCATCTCAGAGCCCCCAAAGACATGAAGGCTGTCCAGGTGATGTGTTCACAGACACCTTTGTGGAAAGTTCCAATGCTGCACGGTTGCCTCAGTGTCCCAATCTGTCCCATGAGGGTGTGGAACTTTGAGAACTGAATACATCTCAAACTTTTATTCCCTAGTAGCCCTCCCAGCTGAGGAGAACAAACATGGACTCCTGGAGGTCTGGGTGTCGCCCAAAGACCTGGCCACAAGCGCATTTCTTTGAAGTCTTCTGTGTTAACCTTTAAATTAGCCTGTATTCCACATTTCCACTCTCTAATTATAACTGTTTTAATATTACAGCCATGTTTTGTTCTCAGATCCTCATGTGAAGTGGGCACTGAAGAAACGCCCTGTTTATTCTGAGGTTTCAAGCACTCCCAGCACACACCCCCACCCCCACCAGCGAGCCTCTCCAGCCCACAGAGGCCACACCCTGACGGTCCCTGTGGGGCACCGTCGCCCCCTGGGGGCCAGGCCAGGAACTTCCCAGCTCCCAGGCTGGAATTCTCAGCCTTCTCCTCTGCTGGCCTCACACCCCCAGGAGCCCTAAGGCCGCCAGCGCAGGTCTGGGGTCGGCCCTCCTGTGCAAGCAAGCCACCAAGTGGCTCCCACGGGCCAGGAGCTGTGCTGGCTTTGGGAATACGATAATGAGTGAGATGCCACCCCACCCTTAACGCACCTCATGGTCTTTAAAGGGGTGGGAAGTATGACAAACAGGTAATAATAGCCAGGGGGGTGGGGGAGGCAGGGAGGGAGCACCGAGGAGAGCTATTTAGCTCAGACTTTGCGGATGGAGTGAGTGTGCAACCAGAGAAGGCTTCCTGGAGGTGGAATCATACCCAAAGGGAGTCCCCAAGGATCCACAGGCCCAACCAAGTGAAGAGCAAAGGGGGCCCCAGGGGAGAACCGTGGAGTGAAGCACAGAGGCTGAGCCAGCAGGGAGGTTCAGAGAGCCTCAGAGAGCGTAATAGGGCTGCCAGTCGTGGTGAACAGAGAGAAGGGGCTGGGGCAAGACCCCAGGGGCCTCCTAGGGGTGGGAGGTGTGGGTCTACTTACACACACCCACCAGCTGCACGCAGACTGTAGGTTGCTGGGGCCTGGTGCCCATGTGGAGGAGCTTGGACTCCACCTTGTAGGTAAAAGGCCCTGTAGTATCTCAGCTGGGGTGGGGGCGTCATTCTGAATCTCCTCCCTGCCCCGGTGTGTGAACCCCGGCCAGGCAGTGGGTGGGATGCCCAACCAAAGGTTAAGCAGGGTGGCCATGTGATCAGATTACCATTTAGGAGAAGGCCTTGGATTACCGAGTGGGGATGGAAGGAGGTGGGAAGGCTGTTAGGGGTGCTGTTGCAAAGCCCCCCACACAGGGGGGAGGGTGGCGGTGGGGGTGGATGGGAGTGAAGGGAACAAAATGTCAGAGTCTGTGGGTGGTAGGAGGAGTGGGAGTTCAGTTGTGGAGTGGATGTGGGGTGAGGGGCAGGAGGCATCAAGGATGACTCCCCAGGCCCCCAAGATGGCAGCCCAGGAGATGGAGCTGGCTGGCCGGGGAGAGAGGATAGCTGTGGGGAGGCTTCAGACAGTGCCTTCAGTGTGGGGGGCTGAGTCTGAGCAGGGGCCAGCAGACAGCTGGACATACGAGTCAGACACCCAGGGTGAGGCCAGGGCCCGAGATGGTCTTTCCTGACTTCAGTCAGCTGGACTCTAGAAAGGCCTTCCAGTGACCCTGCCCACAGGGCAAGGCCGGCCCCCCTGGGACTGCCAGGGTTTAATTCCTTCTCTACCCAAGGGTGTTTCCGATGGAGAAAACGAGTCAATCCAACCATTTTTGCTTTTAGCTTGAGAGATCATGGCCTCTTCTGAGCCTGTCAAGCACTTAAAAGCCAAACTCCAAGAGATATAATCCCTTCCCTTGCCTTCCCTAAAAATCTCCTTAAAGGCAGCCGGAGAAGGATGGAGCCCGCTTCCCTCCGCCTGGGTGGGGGAACCGAAGACAGCCCTTCCCTTCGCTGATGCAGAAAACAAAGCAATTAACTGTGAGGATCAGAGCCCTTTCAAAGAAACGCACCCACGCTCCATCTTCACAATGGCCTTGTTCAACTGAATTCAGTATGTGCTTGGATCATAAGCACCTACCGGGTGCCCCGCGCTGCCCAGGCCCACGTGAAGGGAGGCCCCAGGAAGGGCTGTCCCCCCGCCTGCCCTTAGGGAGCTTCCATCTAGCCAGAACTCGAGACCTGCCCACTCAGAACAAAGACCCAGGGTGAGGGAGGGAGTGTGTGGAGCGGTTCAGACTCGGTGATGGGAGTCAAAGCCTGCTCCTCAACGTCACTACCTGAGCGGGTTGCTCCTGTAAGGAGAGAGACCATCTCTAGGGCTGCTGTGAGATGGAAATCTCCTGGCACACTGGCACTCAACAGATGATACTGGACGACAGCAGTGACGTCACGCTCACTAGGGGCCCGGCACTGTTCTAGTGACTTCTTTAATTCTCAGTGTGCCTGGCACAGAGTGGTTCAGGAACTTAGCCCACATCACGTGGCCGGTATGTGGTAGAGTCAGGGTATGAACCCAAGCAGTTATTAGGGTTCGAAGCGTCTGCGGTTGGGGCACTGGGAGGCTCAGTCGGTTGAGCACCTGCCTTCGGCTCAGGTCATGATTCCAAGGCCCTGGGACTGAGCCCCGCACCATCATCATCGGGCTCCCTGCTCCGCGGGGAGCCTGCTCTTCTTTTCCCTCTGCTCCTCCCCCCACCCCTCTCGTGCTCTCTCTCACTCTCTATCTCAAATAAATAAATAAAATCTTAAAAAAAGAGAAGTATCTGCGGTGAAGTGGGTCTAGCACAGACTGTGCTGTCCATGAAGCTCACACGAGGGAGGAAGCACGAGACCAGAGTGCTGGGAAGGCCACCAGAGGAGCTGGAACTCAAGCTAAATTTGGAAGCTGGGAGGGCATTCCAGGGGGGCGAGCACACACAAGCAAAGGCTCAGCGGCAGAAACTGTCCTTGGAGGGCAACCACTATTATCTCTAGAAAGACTGGGGGCCTTGTCCAGGTTCTCCAGGTCCAGGTGGAGGCATCCTGAGTCCCGTTCCTCTGATTCTTCCCTTCCAGAAACAATAAGATATTCAGCAGGCCCTGAAATTGTTCTGATTGAAGGCAGAGGGCCACCTTGAGCTCAGGACCTTGGATCTCCCCCACCTTCTGCCCCACCGGCACCCCTCCTCGCCCATTTTATTGGAAGAGCGCTTTGTGGGGGCACTAGAACTCAATGATTTGGGGAGCCAGGCAAGCCGACACTGTTTGCCTCTTGATTCTGCCACTTACTGACCCGCGTGTCTTTGGGCAAATTCCCTCAATTCTCTGAGACTCAGGCTTCTTTACTGTAGAATGGGACAATAAGAGCCAACTCCCAGGAGAACATGCAAAAACCCCAGCCCAGCCCATGGCCCACAGTAGTCCTCAGTGGCTGGGAGCTAGGCATAATCAGAGCACACCCCGGACTTCGGGTGTCCGCCTCACCTCGTAGATGTTGAACTGGCTCTGCCCGCGGGCCAGCTCCCGGTAGCTGGTGGTGAATTCTCCAATGAAGTCGTGGCTGCAAGAGAAGGTCTCTGTGAGATGGTGTGACCCAGGCTGCGTACTGCCTCTGCCCATCTCCCCACCTCTCGCCCCTTCCCCTGGCTCCCGATTCTGCCCGGGGCCTCGGCTCCAGGGGCGCATGCCGGCAGAGAGGCTGGGTCTCTGGGAAGAGTCCAGTGTCCCCCGTGGAACAGGAAAGCCAGTGGTCACCTAGCAAAGAGTGGGGCCCCAGAGAAGGGGACCCACTTCTACTTGAAGTCTCGTTTGAACAAAACCAGCAGTGCTGGGGCTTTCGGGGACGACCGGAGAAATTTAAATATGAAATGAATATTAGATGGTATTCAAGAATTATAGTTCAACGTGTCAGGTGTGATAATGGCACTCAAGGTTCTGTAGGAAAATGTCCTTATTTTTTTAGACATTCTCAATGAGATATTTAGAGGTAGAAATGCCTTGATGTCTGTAATTGAAACTACGTCAGCAAAACAGAGCAAATGTGGCAACACGTAGCACTTGTTAAATTCAGATGATAGGCTTAAAAGCCTTCATTAAACTCCTCTCTTTTTCTGTGTATTTGTCATTTTTCCAGTAATGGTCTTTGAAAAGACTGTCTGTGTCATGTCCATTGAGGTAGCTGGAGGTTTTCTGCAGTGGCCACGCCTTCTAGAACTCTGCCCCCACAGTGTGTTCACGTTAAGGGGAGCAAAACCTGTCCACAGGTGAACCCCTGTCTCCCCTGCAGCTGGCTGCCTTTCGCTGTCCTGGCCCCGGGAAGAGGCAGCCTGGGGGGCCTCCGGAGCAGCTGAAGAGTGAGGCCCGGGAGGTGTCCCCGGGGCCTGGCCCTGCCTAGAGCCCACTCTGGATTTTGACTACATATTTATAGCTCTCAGCACTCAAACTACGAGCTCCTTGATGGCAGGACCCTATGACTGGTGGATGTCCCCAGTTTTTTCCCTTTACAGCACCCCATATCTGCATCACAGACTTGAGAGGTACAGATGGAGATTGTGGGGCTGAAAGCCCCCTTACAACACCCCTATTAGTGCCACAGAATGGAGAGAGTCCCAAAAGTCAGGACGACATATTGGGTGTGGTCCAACAGACAAGTGGGAGCCAGGGAGGTTTCTGGACCAGAGCCAGGAGAGACCCATTCTTGTCCTCATCTATGAATCCCCAGGGACACTGCTCCTTGGGGGCACTTACATTCACAGACAGGGAGGGTACTGGCCTCCCACAGCCCACGTGAGAAGTACCCTCCTACCGGCCAGGCTTGGCCCAACTCAGGTACCGGCTCCCGGGACCATTCATGTGCATCAGAGCTTACCCTTCCCACAGCCCACTCGCTCAGGGCCTGTTCCCTGCAAACAAGTTCCTTTGATACACCAAGGGCCTCCCCACTAGACTGGGGGGAGTCCGTGAGGGCTGAGCTTGTCTTCTGCACCTCGTTCACCCCACAATGCTTAGCCTCACACAGAGAACATGAATAAGTGCTCAGGGGGTCACTCGTATTTGTGCGTTTAAATAGGCACATTTCAGAAAATCCTAATTCTCCCAAATGTGGCAAGGTTTTAGGCACTGGGCTGGCTGCTAGGCAGCTATTCGAGGAAAAGAGGCCCCTGGAACCATGTCATGCAGGACAGAGAGCCTCTGGTGCCTCAGTGACACTGGGCAGGGACAAGCCACTGGGGCAGCGGACCCCCACCCCTGGAAAACCCAGGCTCCCTCACCCCCAGAGCTGCCATGGGCATAGCTCTCCCCGTGTGAGGGCAGGGCCCAACCATCCCTTGGGGCTGCCCTCATCCCTGCTCACCTTCTATCCTCCTGCCTGCTTACCTGCCATCCCGATCCCAGTCGTACACCTCCACCTTGATGGTCCTGCAAGGCAAAGGGCCCGTGGTGGGGTGGGCTTGCCCCGGCACCTGCGTGGCCCTGAGACCAGGCCCTTCCCATGCTCCTGGGCCAGAAGCGTGTGCAGAGACACCCACCAGGCTCCAGGGCCCTCGGTGGAGACGCAGCAGCCCAAGAGACAAAAGAATGATCTTGAAGCCTTTTAGCAAAGGTCTTAGGGACAGAGGCATCCCGAAAGCTGTGTAGGGACTTCCCCGAGTTTCAGGGAGGATGTGGAAAAACAGCCTCAGATTTCAGTTCACCCCACCTTCTCCTTAGCCACCCCAGATGGGACACAGGTCCCAGGATGAAGCCATAGTGTGGATTTATCAAGGGTGGGGGCACTGCGGTGGGAATGTGGGATCTCAGGCCAGAGCCGGCTGGGCTCTCCTGGGGAGGGGTAACAAGACTGCGTGCTGGTGGGACCCCAGTCCGAGGAGTCTGAGCGGTGGGGGACCAGCCCGGCCCGGCAGGAAGGGGCCCAGGGCCCCCCCTGAGTCAGGAATGGCCTGCTGAGCTTTTCCATTGCCACGACTGGCTCCTGAGTGAGGGTGTAATTATCTTCACATTTTAGCCTGGCTGCTTTAATTAGTTTGTTTTGACTCCTGTGCATGGGGCTGGGCTTTGGGAGCCCATTTTATTTTTAGCCCGTTTCCATGGCAACAGGCTAGCCGACCAGAGGTGGGAGGAGGGAAGTGGAGGGCTGCGGGTTAACCCTTGGTGCCGGTGGTCCTCCAGGGAGGCCCAGGGAAGGGCGAGCTGCCAGGGTCCTCCTGCAGGCTCAGGGTCCCGGGAGGCGCCAGAGGCGTGAGCAGCAGGGGTCTCCAGCCGTCAGTCCTAAACGGGGCTCGCAGAGGCAGCCGCCTGGGCCGGGCTTCTTCTAGTCGCAGATCGTCTCGCCCGGGGCCGCGGCCCGTCTTTGCGGGTGTGCGAGGAGTCGGCCTCGGAGTGGCGCGGCCCCCAGCAGGAGGCGCTGTCTCCCCGCAAATGAGCCTCCCCCGGGCCTCGGGGCGGGGTGCGGATCCGCCCGCCACAGGGGCACCAACTGTTCCCCAGGAAGGAACGTCTGGGAGGCCGTGCACCAGCCGGGATTTTTGTGACCGCACTGTTAAATGGGGGCAGGCATGGAAGCCCGTCATTTCAAGGAATCCTCTAAATTCTTGTGAAAAACAAAACACCGTGTCTCTCTGAAGTGAATGGTGGCGAGAGAAAAAAATCTAGGCCCCTGAAGGTGGGCTGGTGAGCTGGAAAGAGAGGAAGGAGGCCGGCATGCAGATGCTGTGGGACCTGGAGAGGTCACTGAACCTCTCCGAGCCACAGACCATCTTTTTCAAGGAGGGATAATAGCGGCCTTGCAGAACAGCTGCAAAGCAGAGTCTCGGAGCCCACCTGACGCGCAGGGGGGTCTCGGCAAAAAGGCCTCCTCTCCGCTTTGGCATTCGGCCACACTTGGATTGCTTTTCACAGGAAATTTACTTAAATCAGGGACACTCCTGCCTGGGTACCTGGGCTCTGTGACTTCCAATTCCTGGAATGACACGGCTGGAAGTGACCTCCATGGCATCCAAGCCTGGCCACCTGGCCGATCACCAAGGAGCTTTTCAGACATACACAGCCCCAGGTCCAGTTCCTGGCGGCTCTGGGCAGGGCCCAGGGATCTAGTTTAAAGGCTTCCCAAGCAGCTCTGCTGTGCATGTTCATTTTCAGATGGGGAAGGCTGAGCCCTAACGGATGCACCCAGGGTCACAGAGCTAGTGAGGGTAGGAGCCAGGACCCCGCCCCACAATGCCAAAGTCCCCCAGTCCTTCCCAGAGCCGTGCAGCTCTGTAGGGGACTTTCGGGGGACCTCAGCAAGGAGTGCCTCTCCTGAGACCGCCAACACCAGCCCCTCAGGCAACTGGATCAGTGACAGCCACAAGCTCAGAGGCTGTAGGAGGACCCCAGTTACGGCCACAGCCTTGGATACCCCAAAAATCACTAAGGAGTTGTTTTTTTTTTTGTTTTTTTTTTTTTAATCCCAGGGCCCAAGGGCCTGATTTAGTTGGGCTGGATAGTACTCAGGCTCGGGTAGTTTTGGCAAGTCCCCTGGCTGATTGGAATGCACGGCCAGAGCCACCGACCTTTTCTAGAGGAGAGTGCTGGGTTTCCACCCTGGTTGCACACTGGATCCCCTGGCGCGTGTTAGCAATCCTGACACCAGCGCCTCACCCCGGAGGTTCAGCATCAGTTGTTCTGGGGTACAGCCTGGGCAGGGGGACTATTAAAAGCTCCCTGGGGAATTTTAACTTGCAGCTGAGGTTGAGACCCCTGGGTGTGAGATTCCTGTGCAAACTCAGCCCGGCTGCAGCAGAGGCTCCAGGGACGGCTGCAGCTTGGGGTCAGATGAGCTCCGAGGCTGCAGCCTCCAGCACCCGGGGAGGAGGTGAGAGAAATGGTGCCCAGAGCCTTCTGGCAGCGGCAGAAGCCAGACACAGCTCCAACTACTCTAGGGACAGCTCTGTGCCCCCTGTGGGCTGTAGGCACAACCCCTTAGCACAGGCCTAATGAAGGCTCACATCAGGCCAACTGTGACCTCTGGGGTTGGGACCCTAGAGGAGGGGCTTCTGGGTGTGGCACAATGGGCCTCTGCTACCCACAAGATGAACATCGTATTTGGCATTAAAGGCTCAGAACACAGAGCCCCTAATCTGGGAGGCAGTGAGGGGGCAAGAGAAGGCTGCAGGTACCGTACCAGCTGTGTAGCCCTGTGCAATTGGCCTCCCCCCCGCCCCGCCCTGGGGGGACTCTGTTTACCCCTCTGTAAAATGGGATAATCACACCCACTTTGGCGTTGTTGTGAGAAGTCAACTACATCATTCGCATGTCATTCACACCAATATTGGACACGTGTTCTGTTCCATCTAAAACACTCCAGCCTTTCATCCAAGCCCCTGTCTTCCACACAATTGCTATTCACCATGAAAATGTCAGCTCCATGAGACCAGGGAGTTTGGGTTGTTTTGTTCCCTGCTGTATCTTCAGCTTCTAGAACAGTGCCTGGCATATAGTAGGTAATATAAATATTATTAAATATCCATCACCTGACTGAGATTTCACGACTTTGTGAAGCTACCATGCAGTAACAATTCACTCCTTCCACAAAATCACAAAGGGAAGCCCGAAGTGTGTGTGGCTTTCCCCACATCACACAGGGGCTCGGCTGGGAAGCCAGGCCTGGGGCTGGGAGCCAGTGTCCTGTGGGCCTCTGGATGCCTGGGGCTGCGGTGACAGAGCTGGGTCTGTGTGAGCCTCAGCAGGCCAGCCGGGCTGAGGGACGCCCGCAGGCTTCCCTCTTGGCACATCCGCACACCCACGGTTCTATCTATAGTCTCCTCGGAGCAGAGCTGCACGTCTGCCTCCTAATGAGCCTCTCCAGGGCTGACAGGTCCCCAGGGGTTGGCCCTAAACTGGCTGAGTCAGCCCAACAGTCCTAGAGGCTTCAGGGAAGAAGAGGGGTGTCGGGCCTCACTGGGGGGCAGGCAATGACACTGGATGGTGGGGCCCCGTGCAAGCCCAGCCATACTGCAGAGGCTTTCCCTCCTCAGTCTGCGTTCAGCTGCTTCTGCATGTGTCAGGTGGTCATACGTAGTGGCTGGGCCCCCTCCCAGGACTTAGCACATGGTGGGGTTCAAGGGAGAAGAATTTGCCTTCTCCAGCAGGCCCTCAAAAGTGTGAAGCTCCTGGGATGTGAGAGCCCCCAACCCTAGGGGGTCCTGTCCCCTCTCCAGGGGAGGACCCAGGACGACGACTTACTCTCTTCCAATCCACTCATTCAACATTAAGGTGTGAGTGAGGGAGAGCAGTCTGACCAGGAGCATCTGGCTCAAGGGGGAATAAACCCTCAAGTTACAGAATGTTCAAGGGCAGAGTGGGGGGGGGGCTTTAGGAAACGCTGGGGAAGTGCTTCTTGTCATCACCCCCTTCACCCCATGGGAGGGCTGGTCTGTCTCTGATCTTGACATCAGCTCCTCTGACTCCAGCTCTGCTCAGCTGGCTCGCTTGGGTTTGGACTGGAAACACAGCAAAGGCAGGGGGGACCTCCACCTATGGAGAAGGCAACTTTCGGAGAAGGGACATGTACCTTCTCCTTGCTTTGGCAAGATACATAAGCTCCAATCCTCTGTTTCCCCGTCTGTGAAATGGGCATGTCACTAGGACCCAACTTCTAGGGTTGCTGTGAAACTTCAATTTGCAAAATAAGATAATGTATTCAAACCAATTAAGGCACAATTTGATCCATGTCTGAAAAGGCTCGGTAATCTTAACTGGTTTCCACCCATCATTCCAAGTAAACTGTCCTTCTTCACAGCTCGCTGCTTCTCACCCTCCCGGCCCTCTTCCTCACGGTAGGAGTTGATACTGCTGTTTGGATTCTCCCCTGAGCCCAGGCCCCTGCCCCCAGCTGCCTTCTCCAGGTTCCCTCCCAGCGCTCCGACCATCTCCTGGTCTCTCTCCTGCTCCCGACCCGTGCAGGGCCTCGGGCACCTCACCTCTGCCAGCTCTCTGTCGTCTCCCCTCGGCAGAGCACCACCATGCCTGCCCCACAGCCCACTCTAGCTCCCTGTCACCCTTCCATTTCTGTCTCTCGACCCCAGCTCCAAACACAAATGACCTCTACGTCCCTTTCGCCCCCAGATATGGGTGATGGCAAGGCCTTTGAGTCTTCACCTCCAGGCTCAAGGCCTGCCCCGAGTCCCTGGGCAAGCCCTCCGCCAAACGTGCCCCACTCACACAGGTCTTATCCATTTGGCGGCCGCAGAGTGTGAGGGTCACGAATACAAATTCTCTAGCCAGCCTGCCTGGCTCCAAATCCTGGTTCTACAATTGACAGGCGATAAGATCATATGTGAGCCACTTAAACTCTTTGGGCCTCAGTTTCTTTACCTGTAAAATGTGGGTAGTATTAGCATGTTTTCAGGGGAAATACTAATTGTTGGGAGAATGAAATCAGTTCATATACATAAATTACCACGGAAGTGCTACAGGAAACTTTGCTATTATTCTTATTCTTCTTCTTCTTCTTCTTCTTCTTCTTCTTAACTGTCTCCCACTCTGGCCTGCGAGCAACCTAACAGGGAGGCTTGGGTCTGATGTTCACTATGCCCACAGAACCCAACATGAGGCCCGGTGCCAGGCTGGCTTGGAAGACACGGCTGCTGGATTAAACTGAATGTATCTGTGAGCTTCAAGAGGTACCTCGGGGGGAGAGGAAAAGTGGCTTCGTTTTCCCGCACAAACCCCTCCCTCTGCTGCCCTGAGAGGGCCTCCCGAACGCTTACACCTCCCACGTGGCTGTTGGGTACATAGGTCACCCTAGAGCTCAGTGGCAGAGGGGCCGCGTGACATGCCTGGGCCCCTCCATTAACACCACTGTCAGTCACGTCACAGTCAATCTGTTCCCGGCTGTGGAGAAGGGCCTGAGCTGCCTGGCCATGCTGGAGGGAAACCAGCCTGGGGCTCAGCCTGTGAGGGGGGGAATGGGGGTCTCTGGAGGTGTTCCCCACCAGCTCTACCCTCACCTCCACCGGTGGTTGAACAGTGAGCCCAGGCCTCTGAGCCCGGCTGCCTTCCTCACTGTCCCTGACAAGGCTGGGTTCTCAGGGTGCAGTGTTGTCGGGGGTCAGCTGGACCCCCAACAACATCTGGGTAGTGGGGCCAGAGATCCCAAATCCTCCCACCCCGTGAGACTTGAACTGCTACGCTCTCCCATCCCCCAATCTCGGATTTCCCCTCCATTCCTGTCCCCTTTCGCGATCCCAATCATTCTTCCAGCAGCCAATAACCGCCAGCACCTCCCAGCCCTCCCCAAGCCCCCTTCACACGGTGGTGCTCCAGCCAGACTGTCCTCCCACTCTGCAGGCCCCCGGACCCGGCCGGACGTGTAACCAGGCTTTGTTTGGCTGGAATGCCTGTTTTTGTCTCCAGTCTCATTTCGCACAATTATTTAGCTATCTAAAACGCAGATGTGTGCACATCTGAGCTCCCTGTGGTCAGACTAGAGGCTCCCTAGAGATGGAAACGCGGCTAAATTCCCTTGAATGCCACACAACTGCAGGCGAGGCGTCGAGCACATAGTAGGTGCTCAGTGACCACCTGTGGAACAGACGGGCTGATCAGTCCCCGCTAAGAGGCAGGAAAAGGAGCCACCTCATCTCCTGGATCAGCAACCTAAAAGGGCAGCCTGAGGGTTTCCTGGAGGGAGACAGAGGCGTCTGAAGGCCATCCGCTCTGTCATTCTTACTCCACTGTGCCACACGTACCCAGTCAGGAGCCACTGTGAGCAGGCCCAGCTTGCTCAAGGCTTCCCCAGGGAGCCCTGGAGTGTCCCATCCCGACTGGCAGCTCATCTGCTGGCAACAGTGATCTCCGGGAAAGCAGGCCAGGTTCTCGTGACTTCACACAGACCGACGCCATCATACAGCACCCATTTTACGTGCTCCCCACTCCCCGGCACTCAGCACAACATGTAATTATATGTTTCTTTGTGTGATTATCGGATTAATGTCTGCCTCCCCGACGAGAATGTAAACTCCACAAGGTTGGGTGAAGGGTGAAGACTGTGTGTTCGGTGTCCTGCTGATTTCCCGGGAGCTAGCACAGTGCCCGGCACACGGTAGGAAGTCAATCAACGTTTGTGGACAAAATGCGGGATTTGGTATTTTATGCACACCAGGGCTTTCTTGTGTAGGTTGTGTCATGTGAGCTTCTAAGCAGCCCTTGAAGGTAGGTGGACGTTTAAAACCTATTTTACAGATAAGGAAACTGAGGCTCAGACAGGTCAAAGCTTGCCCAGGTTGACAGCGCTTTTTAGTCACAGAGCCAGGGTTAGAAACCAGGTCCCCAGTATCTACACCCAACAACCTACACTCAAACAATGGTGAGAGCCGACATGTAATCAGAGCAGGCTGCGGCACATCAAAAAAGTTTCCTGAATTTTCTGTACTCCGGCCCTCTCCCCCCATTTATCTTGGGATCCTGACTCCCCAGGGTCCATCTGCTAGGAGCTGGGGTTGGTGTGGCCACCTCTGCCTGCATCTAGAGCCCCCAGCCTGTCTCCCCCTGCCCCTCCACTGGAAATCATGACGAGAAAGGCTGCGGAGCTCCAGGCCGGGACACCCAACACCCACCCGGGCTCCTCGGCATCCCATCCCCACCCCCCGCCTGGGGAGGTCCGCACCAGGGGAGGGCTGCCAGACCAGGGGGACAGCGGCAGGGCAGGCTGGGGAGGCAGGCCTATGAGAAGGAGGCAGACACTGCCCAGGGGGGCGAGGGGCAGGGACAGCACTGCTCCAGGGGGCTCCGCCCATACCGCCCCGCCCCGGGAACAGCCCGCACTGACACCCGACACCCCACACCCAGGAGGGACAGGTTCTCATCTCACCGGTCATAGTCCCCATTGCAGAGCGCTCTCACAGGAATGGAGAAGGTTTGCCAGACTGGGTTTAGGGTGTTCTTCATGACCTCGGTCTTGTGGCAGATGGTGAACCTGGTGAAGGAGAGACGGAAGGTGTCAGGCCTGAACCCAGGGAGGCAGAATCCAGGTCAACAGAGGGGCCAACCGATTAATCTCTGCACTTGCCATACAGTGGAAGCCAGAGCTTCATGAGATGATGAGCTGCCTGTCACTAGCAGCATCCAGGCACTAACTATGGCCATTTTTTAAAAAGATTTTATTTATTTATTTGAGACAGAGAGAGAGAGAGAGAGAGAGAGAGAGAGAGCATGCGTGTGCACAAGCAGGGGGAGGGGCAGAGGGAGAAGCAGACTCCCCGCTGAGCAGGGAGCCCAAAGTGGGGCTCAATCCCAAGATCCCGGGATCATGACCTGAGCTGAAGGCAGAGGCATAACCAACTGAGCCACCCAGGCGCCCCATAGATGGCCATTTCTTGGTGACACTTGAGAGAGGATTCCCAGCAGCAGGTGGCGAGTGTCAGGAGATAATGGGTTCTGCCCCCCTCCCCACCTCTCTGTGTGACCTTGAGCAAGCCAGCCTCTGTGACCTTGAGCAAGCCCATCCCTGCCCCGTAAACTCAGGGAGTTGGCTGCTGTCAGATGTTCTTCATCTGAGACCCATGGAAGGATCTGTGAATGGGATTTAGGGTTTGTGAACCCCTGAAATCGGGGTGAACTTGGGTGGGTGACTTTCATATGCTTGCTGTTCCCCTGCCTGAAGCATTGTCTCCCCAGATTTCCATGTTCATGGCTCATCTCCTCACTTCCTTCAGGTCTTTACTCAAATGTCACCCGTCTGACAAAAGCACCTGCCCTGATATAAAATTTATAACCCCTGGTCCCCTCCCATGCTTTTTTTCTACTTTACCTGTTATGTTTTGACAATGTTTCTCCTTATTTACTTTATGCTTTGTCACTAAAATGCAAGCTCCGTAAAGACAAGGGTCTGGTCTTCCTTGATCACTGGTATATCTCTGGTGCCCAGACCAGTGCCTGGCACTGAGTAAGCATTCACTAAATTTTTTTTTTTTTTTTTTTGGAACTAATGAATAGATGTACGTCTCAGAGGAGAGTTTCCACAGCTTTCACGGGCATTAAAGGCAGTGAAAGTGAGGCCCTGGCTTAGACAATCTCTAAGACACTTTGGGCTCTCCCAGTCTGAATCCACCAAGCCTGCTTTGCAAACTAGCTTACCCCGCTGGGCTCCAATCCAGCGTCCCTGCCCACTCCCCATGCCATGCCTGCTGGCCCCGTCCCGGCAGCCTGCCCTGCCAACACGGAGGGGTGGCCAGGAGCCAGAGCCAACCTGGGGGCAGAGGCTGTCCCCCTGAGATTTCCCAGCCTCCCCCCGCCCCAGCCACCTCCCAGCCTGGAAAGGTCACCCCGGAAAGTGCCTGGGCCCCGCCCGTGCCCACACAGCCTCTGCCATTTCTTCTCTGGCAATTTTCAAGTCAAAATGTCATTCCTGTCACCGCGGCTCAGCGTTTCTCTTCTCTGCTCCTTCTCGCCCGCCCACGGGCGTGTGGAGATACATGCGGGAGACCTCCCCACACACCCCGGAGCTGGTGACGAGGACAGGAATGGAGAATGGGGCCAGGAGGGGGCCACGGCTGCCCAAGTTGGGGCAGGCAGGTAAGGCAGGAAGAGGAAAGGGTTGGGGAGAGAGGGGCACGGCGGGGGGGGGGGGGGAAGAATCAGGACCAGCCCCTGGGCTTCGAAGGGAGGGAGTCTGCCTGCCTGTGCAGAAGCCGGGCCCGGGCTCCAGAGACCTTCTACCTGGAACAGTTACACCCACCTGCTGGGGGACCCTCCCAGCCCCTCCATCTCTTTGGACCCACCGACTTCTCTGTCTCTTCCTTGCCAACCAGTTTCTTGACTGGGTCTTCTGAGCTATTAGCCCGATTGCTTCCCTCCGTGCTTCTCCCTGGGCCCTGTGTAGTCCTGTTTCTGCTTTCAGACTCTGGGTCTGAAGCTGCTTTCTTTAAGGTCCCCCAAGCCCCTCATCCCCAAATCCACAGACCCCTCGACTTCCTGCTGCACTTGCCGTGGGGCCGGGCCCTTCCTTGAGTGGAAATGGTCCCTGCAGGCATCTCATGGCTCCAATCAATTCACCCCGACTCCCGCTCAGGGCGGGTGGTGTGGGAGAACATGAGTTGGACTGGTGAGGCTACAGCCCCAGGGCCCCTCCCGCCAGCTGTGTAGCCCTGGGCAAGTGACTTTCTCTAAGCTTCCCCTTCATTGTAAAATGGGGCGGGGAACCGGGCCCTGTTCTAATGACATATATGAACTCATTTGGTCCTCACAGCAACCCCGAGAGGGAGGTGGTAGGATTATCCCCACTGCACATACTAAGCACCTGAGTTGGGGAGGTTATAGGGGCACTATCCAATATGGTAGCTTCTAGCCACATGGGGCTATTTACCTTTAAATTACTCTAAATTAAATTAAAAATTAAGCTCCTCAGTCACACGAGCCCCGCTTCACAGACTCAACAGCTACATGTAGCTAGTGGCAACTGTACTGGACGGCGAGACACAGAACATTTCCATCATTCCAGAAAGTTCCATTGGGTTAAGAGACTTGCCTGAAGGTACACAGTAGGCAGCCCGGCGGAGCCCTCTGCCACATTCTTACTCCCAGAGGAGTGACTGGGACTGAAGAAGACAAAGTAGGTACAGGGCCAGCAGGACAGTGCGTGCTCTGAAGATGCTTCCTCCGCTTTCCCTCCAGGACATTCCACTCCCTGGGTTCCATCATCGACCTTCCTCCTGACCTCTTCCTAACTGGGGGTGTCTCCCAAACCTACTCATCTCTCCTCAAACTCTGGGTAACCACCCTGCCTCCACCAGGTCAGCCTCTGACCTGTGCCCACAGACTGGCCCATCCTTTGGGGGCCTCTGGTGGGTTTCTCGGGCTGCCCTTGGTGACCCCTCCTGGAGAGATCCAGCCCGTGCTTCAAGTGAAACTCATCCCCAAATAAACTCCCATCGCCTCCCCCATCTGACCAGCTCCTTTGCCATTTTTAACACTCTGGGTTGCCCACAGCTCCACTACCGGGGCCACCCTGGTCCTGCCTAGTGAGGTCCGCTCACTGTCCTTTTGCTGGCGTCCTCCCCTTCCCACTTCCTCCCTGCATTTCCCCGGCGAGGCTCTGAGGCTCGCCTGCGCTCAGCACCTCCCACCTGTTCACGGTGTCAGTCACGAGTCTCTCCCTCTTCCCTGCCCCCTCGGCACCCATCCTACACAGGCTCTGCTAGAACAATCACTGGCAAATACTTTGCAACACAGCCCTCCCCTGCTCCCACCCCCAAATTCCTCTCTCCTGGCCAGCTGGCCTTCACCTCCAAGACAAACCTGGCCTGACCAGGCATCGCCTCTCTGGAGGAGACCTGTGTGGACATTCCCATGGGCGCCCGGAACATCACTCGGCCCTTTCCCTCCCTCCCTCAAATCAAGTCAAAGTCAACAAGAATTATTTAAAGAAATCCTGCTGGGAGTCCTTTGGTGAGACAGACTCCTTTTGTTATGCAAATGATCACACCTAATTTCCCTTGTTTTGTTCGTTCAGGTTTTAAAATCGGTTTTCCTTGTGAAACACACCTCCTCCCTGCTCCTCCCTCCCCCCCAACACACACACACACACACACACACACACACACACACACACACCCAGAGTTCCAGAATCAAGGGGAACTTGGAGGAAGCCTTTCCGCCCTCCGCTCCGGACACACCTGCTTTGCACTCCCCTTTTCTCTAGCCTGTTATTCACCTGCTCTTCCCCCATGGACCCATTTTCTCCCTCTCCTTCCAAACCTGCTTCCAAGTTCCCCTTCTCCAGCCGTGTTTCTCTAATTAACCTCCCTGACCCCATCGCTTCCCGGTTCTGCAGCATCCCAGCTCAAAGTGGCCACAGCTTCCCACAGCTGTGCTGCTTAAAGAGACCGTGGAGACCGCCTAATCCAACTGGTTCATTTTCCTGATGAGAAAACAGGCCCAGAGAGGGGGTATAACTTGCCCCAGGTCACACAGCAAGCCAGTGGGGTGGACCGAGGTCCCCAGACCCTCAACCTAGAATCTATGCATCTGTGTGCATGGCTGACCTACATTTGCCGACGTGTTGTGTGTGTTTCCGTCATACTGTGGGTGGCTTCCAGATTAGGGAGAGGAGAGGAGGAAATGGGGGCTTTAAAGACGCGTGCGGTTTTGAATGAAGCCTATGGCAAGGTGTGGGACTGGCCTGGTAACAGGGTCCGGATTTGCCATGCTGGGCGTGTGGTAGTTGGGTGGGGGGGCACGTGTGGTAGTGGGGTGTTCAGAGGGCTGCGGGTGGAGGAGGGGTGGGCTGGAGAAATGTGCTGATTTGTGTGGAAGAAGGAAGGGGCTATTCGGAGGAACCCCTCGTTCCCACCCTAGCCCTGCTTTCGCCCACTCCCCTCACCTCCAACATACCTAGTACCCACCATTGCTGAGACCCTCAGAATGGCACTGCTGGCTTGGGAGCTGCCCCTACCCCCCACCGGTCCCAACCGCATGTCAGGGCACTACCCAGGAGCCCCGACTTCTATTGTGAGCAGCAGGCCCAGGCAGCACTGGGAAGAGGCGGGCCCAAGCCCCCCCCTGCCTGAAAGGTCACCACACCCCTCCATCCCTGATGCTGGAAAGGGAGTGAAGTGCTGTCAGGGGACTTACGTTCCATCCTCATTGCTTCTGTAGAACACCAAGAAGGGGTCGGACTTCCCAAAGAAATCCTTTTTGTCCAGCTTGTTGGCACAGAACTGCATTGTGGCTACATCCTGGTGGGAAGGAGGGAGAACAGGGGTGTGAGGCAGGAGACGGCTGGAGGGCGCCCCAATCCCCGTGGAAACACAGCCCCAAGACCCTGGAAAACAGGAGGATTCTGAGCACCAAGCTGGTTAAAAGACATCATGTTACGTTTGCCCTGCACCAACCAAGGGCCAGGCCCTGGGCTAATACTGGGGGGTTCTCATTTCATCTTCAAACAACCCCACTGGGCAGGTCTGATGGAGCAGTATGGGGCAGGGTGGGGGGTGGATTCTGGAGCCAGCTGCCCCAGTTTGAATTCTGGCTCTGCCACTTTCTAGCTGTGTGACCTCAGACAAGGGAGGCAACCCCTTGGAGCCTCAGTTTCCCCTCTGTAACACAAGGCTGATCACGGCACCCACCTCAAAGGGCTATTGCAAGGACTAAAGGCAAAGCACTTGGCAGAGTGCAGGTACATCAGTGTTGATGTGCGTGAGTCCATTACTGTTTTACCCCGTGGCTCAGAGAGGTGAAGCGACTCACCCAAGGCTACTCTGAGCTTGGTCTGCCAACCTCAGAGCCCTCGCTCTGTCCACAGCACCTCATCCCCTCACACACTGGGTGGTTCCAAGAAGACCGTCAAGATGAAACATCACTGGGGCGCCTGGGTGGCTCAGTCGGTTAAGCGCCCAACTCTTACTTTCACCTCAGGTCATGATCTCAGGGTCATGGGATTGAGCCCCTGCGCTGAGTGGGGAGTCTACTTGGGATTCTCCCTCTCCCTCTGCTCCTCCCCTTGCTCTCTCTCTCTCTCAAATAAATACATCTTTAAAAAAAAAAATGAGACATCACTTTCACACCCACTAAGCCGTGAGAGGCCCACCAACTCTCTAAGGTAGGTACGGCCCATTTTACAGCTGAGGAGCCTAAGGCTCAAAGCAGGGAGCCACTCCCCCAAGTTCACCAGGCAGAGCCCTGGGATCTGACTCCACGACGAGTTGACGGCCCCAGCTAACACAACACTCGGCCCAAGCGCACAAAGAAGGTAGCCAGGCCCTGGTGAGGATTGCTGGGCCCCTCCCCTCACATGGCCCCCAGTTCCTCAGTTTGTGGCAGCTGACAGGACACTGGGCAGAAATGCCCCCATGTCCTCCTCTTCATCCATCCCCACGTGGCCTCTTCAACCTGAAAGGTCTGCACCCTGACAACTCAGCTGCCGGGTGGCCAGAGCTCAGAGCGTTGTTGTCTGGTCCCTGGGGCCTGGCTTGCCCTTCAGGGCCAGGGCCTGTCGGGAAGTCACCTAGCTCTCTCACTGCCCTTCCTCTCACTGGGGAAGCCCATCTCGTGAGATCAGTGTCCTACAGGCCTGTGAGGACCAAAACAGTGGCAGAGATGAAAAGGCAACCTCCCACATGTTTGAAGGACATGGTCAAAGGTTTGGGAGTGGGTATGGTATGATGGTTAAGAATATGATTGCTGGGGGGGGGGAAAGAATATGGTTGCTGGAGCCAGGCTGCCTGCCTCAGCTCCATCCCTTTCTAGCTGTGTGACCTAGAGCAAGTTGTCCACCCTCTCTGGCCTCAGTTTTCTCATCTGTAAAATTGGGTACCAGCGGCCTACTTCATAGGCTTGTTGTGAGGTTGAAATGAGTCAATATGACAATAGTGCTGGGAACATTGTACAGCGCACACCAGGTGCCTTGTACGTGCAAGGTATTTGCACACTTGCCCCTCCCTGTACACACAATGTGTGTGGCCTCTGTCCCTGCCCCACCCCCACCCCCTCAAATGCCTTCCCTCAAGGACATCTGACAATAGCAAACACAGAGCATCCTTCCCTTCACTCATTCGTTCCTTCAACACACATTTATTAGATACCGTATGTATGGCCAAGTCACTGATCTCCTTATCACCTTTAGCCCTTGAAGTAATCCTTTGTTGCTTTTTTTATAAATGAGGGAGCAGGGAGTAGAAGCAGCTAACCTGCCCAAGGTCACCAGCTGATAACTGGTAGAGTGGCAATTCAACACGAATGAACTGATTTCAAAGTCACGTCCCTTCTGGCACACCACTCCACTCCCTGAGAAAGAGAGCGCGATCCAGTTTGGGAGGCCCCCTTCCCTGGTTTCTTTGGACGGACTCCGGGGCAGGTATGGACGGGAAGGGGCTGGCCTCTGGTTAACCTGGGCCGGAAGTGCCCACTCAAGGGAGGCCCTGAGGAGGGGCAGGGCTGAGGCACAGCGGCCCGCACACAGAGGGGCCCAGGTAATGACAACTTTCATCATGTCTTTCTTCGTGGCCTACGCGAGAAGAAGAAGGAGCTGGACTGGGGGCTTGCAAGGCCTAGGAGCCCCGGGAATCCTAGAGCCTCCAGAGAAACCTAGGACATCAGACCTGGAATAAGAGGCCAGCCGACTTATGGAGCACTTACTACATGCAAGTCACTATGTGAAGCCTTCTGTTTACGCACATTATTTCACTGAATCCGCATAACAGCCATATGAAGTAACTCTGCTACTCTCTCCGTTTTACAGATGAGGAAACTGAGGCTTTTAAATCCTGTCATATGCCCAAGGTCACATAGAGGGTCACCCAGGCGGGGCTTTCTCCCTCAGCCTCCCAGAAAGATCTCTCACCTTCTAAGCCCGCTCCCTGCAGTCACTGTATCTCCACAGTAGAAAGTTCCAATCCCATCCCATGTTGGAGGGAGGGAGCATTTTAAATGTCTCCCTGGGGAGCTCTATCCCTTGGCCCAGAAAAAGGAGGAGGCCTAGGACCAGGAGGCTTCCTCCCAGTGCTGGCTATAGAATTGGTGAGGCCCATGGGAAAGGGGAAACGTGACAGCAGGGCATTAAACCGAGCATAGGCCCTATAGGACCGCACCACTCATAGGCCCACCAAGCTGGCCCTCGCTCCTCCCCACAGGGGCAGCGGGCTGTGGCACCAGAAAACACTGACCTTCAGACTCTGCTGAGGACAGCAAGGGGGGATAGCCCAGCAAGGCTCCCTGAGTTCTGGGCCCTCAGCCTCAGTTTCCTTCTCCGTCAAGTGACCTGCTGGGCAGGCCGATGACACTGTCCTTTAATGCCAGGCAATTTAGGCTTCCATGCCGATGGCACTGGGAGCATAAGGGGACAGGGACGACACTGGGGAGGCTGGCACTCAGGGCACAGTCCGGGAGTCCAGACCCCCTCCAGCTTCCCCAGGATACTGCTTGGTTGGAACTCCAAATGTGACCCCATCCATCTGGAGGTCACCTGAATGAACTCAGGCAGGCCACACACAACAACCTGCACTGGTTGACTATAAAATACACACATATATTGAAACAACCAAAACCGACGCCACAAAATCCAGGGGCAAAAGCTCTTATTGTCGCTTCCTAGGAGAACCCCTCAAAGCCCTGCAAGATCAGGAAGGGAAGCAGAACGTAACAGATCATTACGCCCAGGACCATTCAGCCAAGGCCACGTGTTTGGAGCTGCACTTCTGCCACCTATCCGCTGAGCAGCCTGTTGCAAGCGATGTCACCTAAGCCTGGGTGTTCTCTTCTGGAAAAATGGAGTAGGAATGGGCCCCTGAGACCCCATCCTGAAGAGTAAAGCGAAGGGCCTTTGTTAAGCACCGGTCCACAGTGCAGAGCATGGAGCAGCTGTAAGAATGGGAGCCAACTCTTGTGGAGCGCCATCTACTCTTGGGCTGAACCCTATGCAACCGCCAGTGTTTAACTGGTGTCTACCTATGAAAATGGCAGTAGAATAGGGCTCTACCTAATCTGTGCCAAGCAGATATTTTTATGCCTATCAGTTCCTTTAACCCTCTCACCAACCCCAAGAGGTAGGAACTATTATTATTCCCATTTTAAAGATGGGGAAACTGAGGCCCAGAGAGGTTAACACTCTTGCCCGAAGCCACACAGCTATTAGGAGGAGAAGCTGGGATTGGAACAAGACAGTCTGGCTCCAAAGCTTAATAACTGAGATTCCAAATGATGACCCCAAATCATCCCGATAAGTTTAATTATGTTCTGTAGCCTCAGTTTGAGGAGTCAGAGAAGTGTGAAATCCATTTTAGAAAGGCCTCCTCCGTGCAAACTAGTTAAAATTACAGGGGGAAAAAAAAAAAAAGCCTGGCTCTGAAATTCAGCTAACTGGAAAAATCCTCCAGTGAGCCACACCTCATTCCCGCTGATGGCAAATCCTTGAGGTGCTGCTAGCAGCTTATTCTGCCGCTCAACCTGATCTGCTCTCCCTAACACAATCTAGACCCAGAAACATTCACCAAAAGAGCTTTGCGATCATCAGTACTGTTGTGCCACTGTTGAATCCATGGGGATAAGAGAGACCTGCAGTAAGACTTCTAGGCTGTGACCAAGGCAAGCTTCTTCCCTCATGGGTGCGCACCCCTTGGGGAGTCCTTGAGACAAGGCACCGCAGCCGTCTGGGGACTGTGCTTTTTTTTTAATTTTTATTTTAATTAAATGCAATTAATGAGCATTAATTAGAGTGTATTATTAGTTTCAGAGGTAGAGTTCAGCAATTCATCAGTTGCATAGAACACCCAGTGCTCATTCCATCATGTGCCCTCCTTAATGCCCATCACCCAGTTACCCCATCCCTCCACCTCCCTCCCGGGGACTGTGCTTTTGAAGGTGGCTCTGAGTTATGTCAATAGTCATATCACACAGACAAGGCTTTGACCGCTCCCCTTAAATGTAGGTTCGTGAATGGACCCCAGGAAGAGTCTGGGGAGTGGCAACAGATGGACTGGGCCAGCAGGATTAGGAAGCAGTCATTCCTGGCTAAGTAAGAGGTCCCGCTGTTTGAAGCCTCAGCTGGAGGGTGGGGCTCTCTGGGCACGTGAAATGCTCTTCCCAAACCAGAAGCATCTCTGGAATCAACTGTGGAGAAGATAAACAACTCCTGCAATATATAATTTCCAGCAATTTCTGCCTTTTTGCCCTATCTTTTTAAAAAACATATTAAGTTCTTCTAAAACAGCAGGACTGCCTCAATTTGCATCTTTCCGCATGT